CTTCGTCGGCTTCTTTTTTCATAAAATATTTCTGCATGCTTTTTGTTTTTTTTTTTACAAATTTTTCATTATTTTGTTTCTTTTTCTTTTTTTTATATATCGAATCCGAATTAGTTTTTTTTAGTTTTAGATTGCAATGTGCAGTAACCAATCATCACCATCTTTAGACAATGGATGTAATAGCTGCTATGAACAATGTTTTTGCTACATCACAATTTCATCGTCATCATTTAGCACCAACATCATCACATCGTCATCGACACGATCTTTATCATAGTCCTAATATTATCATCATCGTCATCTCATTATCACCATCATTATGGCTGCCATCACGACTGTCTTCATCATATCGTCCTCATCTTTGTCATCATGTAAATGTGAATTCTGAATTAAAATTGGCGCTGACATTAATAATAACCATCATCATTGTACTCATCATCATCGTACTCATCATCATCGTAGCCATGGTCATAGTAGCTACCATTATCTTGGAAGGAAAAACTTCTGACTTGAAAATTTCATTCTGCATTTATCCTATTTAAGTTGAGTAGTATCAAGGCATTGTATAATTTATTTATCAATCACCTGGGCACCTTTAGCTCCTAATCGTCCCCAATCTCACACGGATCGTCTTTTGTTTGCAATCGCAAGCTCAATTTATTTTCCCACTCTACTTTACTCTTCCTTCATACTTTTTCTTGCTGTGTGTTTCTATTATTTTTTATTGTGTGATATTTTTAATGTGGTCTTGTCATAGCAACAGTTCTTGTTATTGTTGTTAGAGCTATCAATGGTGAATATTAACTATTGTACTATAACATACAATAGTTAGTTACATGTTTGACTCTTTCAATTCGTTCTCAACTTCATTGAACCAAATTTTTCTTTAAAAAAAATTTTTTACACATGAAACATTGTTGTGGTTTTTCAATTCAAAATTTTTATGTGAATGTAAACCTACAAAAATTTAAAAGATAAAGAGATGCAAAAACTATCGGATACTGTTACATTTGCAAATATATAAATATGTGTATACATTATTTTATGTGTAATTGTGTGTGTCCGCTCATTGTATATATATATATATATATATATATATATCACTGATCCATTCACTATTAGTTACTGACATGTTCAGAGTTTCAAATACTAGCCTATGTTCAATGCGCTAAACTGGTTTGCATTTTTTTCTTGCATCAGTCAAAACGTATTCAGCCAAACAAACTTAAGAACAAAAATTTGTAAATAAGTTTGGCATGGAAATAATTTTCTTTCTCAACCGCATCAGCGGAGTCTGCACTGGAAAGGCATCGTTTAATAATGGAGCAACCATGTCACATAGCACCTTTAATATTGCAAATCGTCACCTTATAACAATCATTATTATAAGTCTGTCTCGCTGTCTCTCTCTCTCTTTCTGTCTTTCTGTCTGTCTTTGTCTCTGCATGACTGCGTAGGAATCATTCCGCTGCTATTGTTCGCATGTTTGTTTATTGGTGTTGTGTAGGTTTGATGGTTCTTCTTTGCTCGGTTGAGTGCATGAGTGTCTGCTTTGTTTGTTTATTTGTGTAAATAATTGTGTATGTGTTTGTGTGTTCTGCAGATTATTGTTGATGACTGAAAAAACTTTTTCAATACCGACATAATTTCAGGAAAGCACAAATTTTAAGAATTAATAATATTATTGATTTTAAGAATTCCCATGCAACGCGTCAGTGTCGTAAGAAATTTGAAAACGTTTAACAATTTGAATTAATAATAAAATAAATAGAACAAACTATAATTTTAAATTTAAAAAAATGATAATGACAGAAATAAGCAAAACGTACTTAATAAACGATGCATTACATAGCGCGGTATATGCACGTCAAAATAAAACTAACAAAGAAGCAATTATTTATTTTGTCGGCGGCCTCTGATTACGTGGTCCAATCAATAAGTACATACCCATCCCGACACAAAACGTCTTCTATAATTATCTATATGAATCTCAAATCTACGAAAACTTTAAATAATTTTTTGGTAGTCAACTACTTTTTCATCCATCCATTAGTTTTACCTATTTGTATGCTACATACTTTTTGTATTATCGATTATTCCTCACATTTGCCTTCCATCTGTTGATTCGCCAATTAGTGAATTCATCTTTATTTACTTGAACCATTCATCTACTTACCTTCTTATTTCTTTCTTTCCCAGCAGTCAGTCTGGTATGCGATTGGTCCATCTTTCCAGATAACTACGCGTGTATCGACCAGGTCAACAATTTATTAAAATTATAAAAAGAAAATAATTTCATTAGAAAAACTGAAAACTTCATTCGTGAATACAAACATTGATTTATCATTTAAGCATGGTTTTTACTCTTTTCTACGTTACTTAACACTCTTCCGAGTTTAAAAAACAAAAATGAACAAACAAACAAACAATGAAACGATAAAACGGACAAACTTGAAAACAAACAAAAATCAACTAATAAAACAAACAAAGATATAAACAAACAGAAAAGAACAAACAAGTAATAAAACGAACAGACAAGCAAACAAATGAACCGACGAACAAGCGAACACTTGATACTTGATTTTGCAGCCACGTGATGCACGTCTAATTGTTTGCATTGTTTACTTTTCACTGGTTTGCTTTTAATTTAAATAAAAATTAAATTTGAAAAAATATCACTAGATAAAACAAAAATATTTCTGCTTCATCTGTCGGATTGAATTCGAAATATGAAATATGAAATACGGTGTGCAATGTAGGTATTTTGCTAAAATATATGCTGATGTGAACAGTTTACGTGTAGGAAGCGATTTAATGGTAAAAAAAGAAGATGAACAATAAAGACAATGCGAGCGAGCACTCAGTTTGCACTTGATTTATTTTTTTATATTTAAAAATGAAATTTTTCAAAAACAAACGACAAACAAACAAGGAAATTTAATGGGGTAAATAACAAGGCAACGTTTGTTTATTAAAATGCTGGCAGAAAATTTATAATTCCATTTGAATGGCCGAGGACGGCGTGAGTTTTATTTAGTTGGAATCAATGCTTGATTAGAAATTCACGAGTCGATGTGGAAAGTTGAATGAGATGGTTGACACGTACGCAAAAAAGACGAGAGTTGCAACAAAAAAAATTTTCATACAAAATAAACTGTTGCCGCAACATTTTGTTGCGGCAACAGTTAATAAATTAAAATTAATTATCGGCGAAAATAAATTAAACGCTCGAACAATGTATTCTTTATTAAATGTATATTTATGATGAATTGGGCGTTCTATGTGATTTGATGTAGTCAATCCTTAAAAAATGAAATCAATGTAATTGTTCACGCTTGTTAATGAACCGGTTCTATCACACTCGCACGTATGCAACTGCTTTCTGTTTGCATGCACAACAACATCTCACACAAAAACATATTCATCCATTTAACATGGCGTACATTTTATCATCGAACACAAGTAACACTTCAATGCATAAATTTATATTACACTTACAGACATACATAGATACTTATGTACATACATAAACATATACAAACAAACTAACAAACATACAACAAACAAACACACATACAAGCCCACCTACACACATACATACATCCATAAGTAATGCTGGACAGACAAAAATTGTCTTGTCAGAGTTAATCAATTTTGAGGTGCTAAACGAGACACTGCACGGAGTTTAACAAATTTTATTTCGCCAACTACTTGAAAATCAACATAACAGTAAATATTTGAAAAATTTGTATTGTGAGATTATTCCTAAGCGCGCATAGAGTGAGTGACTGGGACAAAGCAAATGCACTTTTAATGAACGGCGGTCTGTGAGGTGTTCAGTGTGGAGGTAGTCTTGCAGAGCATTTTCAATTCAATAATTCAATTGAATTTAATGAATGCACGTCAAACGCAGTAGCATTGTTTGTTTTAAACTTTTTTTTACAGACTGTTCGTTGATTTAAAATAGTAACACACGTGGAAAACTCATTTCAGATGCAGCGAAACAAAATGAACTAGAATAATAAAATAAAATATTTACACGTTAAAATCAATGGGAAACACGAAAAAACATTTAGAATATTTTCATGTTTTAACTTTAACACTATAAAAACTGTTGAAAAATTTCAAACATGGGAAAATAATTAATTGTTTTTCTACATTTTATCACACATCTGCACAAATGAATTATTATATTTTAGCACATTTCAACAATTTGTCGTAATTTCAAAAAATCATAGAAAATTGGTTGAGATATTCAAATATGAATAAATCTAATTGGTTTAAATTATTATTTATTAAATGTGTTTTTAATCTTTTTTATTTGTAGAAACATAAATCGAGCATTTTCTATGCGAATTCCAATGTTACAATTCAAATAGGTATACACAAGCAGATACACATTCAAACTCACACAGGCATACAGAAAACACACACACTACGCACTCTAACGCACACGCGCACGTGCGAATGCGAACAGTGATTGGCCTGGCTTCTATCTATTGTTTCAATATAATCAGTGGCTGATGAACCTGGAATCGAAGCGATTCGTAAAAAACGCGAACATTACGTTTGTACATCTTACGTTTGTCACAATGTTTACGTGTTAGGATGTTATTTGGTGTGTCCCTGCGCTTGCAAATGTTGTGAGTGTGTGTGTGTGTGTGTGCGTGTGCCTGTGTATATGTGTGTCTATACTCGTCCGATCCGATCCGATATGTCGTGTTGTGTTGTTGTGTTTCGACAAAGTTATTAACCGGCTTTAGAAATGTATCATTTGATGTTTTTGTGAACACAATTATGATAAAATTCGACATACGCACGCACGTACAAATAATTAAAGAAATATAAATAAAAAAACAAATATATATATATATATATATATATATATATATATATATACACTTATACTTTGTGTGAACGTGTTTCACATTTCACAGCTTCCAAAACGTTGAAACATTTTTCAAAAAAACAAAAAACAAAAATTAAAGTTAGAGAAATAAATGGTCACGAAGTACGGCAGTGAAGTTAGTATAAATCAAGAGGTGAGCGTCATGTTGACGTTAGTTAAATTGACCACTCGGATCAAAAAGAGATTCCTACCTGCCCGGCAGCCCACTCTTAAGTCCGGCATAAATCAACAACAGACTCAAATGAAATCTTTCTTAGTCCGCATCGCTACATTACTTCACAAACTCTGCTGGTTATATTTTTCTATCTTTCAAAAGTGCAAAATGTTTGTCTGTCTAATAAGCAGAAACAATTTTTCATTATTTATAATAAATTGAACGTCGACTTGCTCAGCCGGTTCGAAATTCATGTTGAAACATGTCTCAGAAATTATTTTCTCCGTACATTCATTATTTAAGTATATCCGTTACAATATATCACTCTATGCAACGAAATATACATACATATATATATATATATATATATATATATATATATATATATATATATGAGTATATATATATATATATATATATATATATATATATATTTATATATATTGGATTATTACTGTCAGAAATGCAATTATTGATGAAAATCAAAGCATGTTCGGCGTTGGTTAACTTCCTATTTAACTTTTCAATTTTTCTAACGGTTGATCGTAAATCATTTTCAAGTTTTTTTAGTTCAAAATCAAAATTTTTGTTTATTTTATGCATGATAGAACAGAAAAGCTTTTTCAGTATTCCCATACCATCTTCGGTGTTCAAATTGATATGGTTAGTCGTTAATTATAATGGGACAACATTCGTTATTGCCATTGAGGCATAAAACTTTGTTTGTTTCTTTGGTGTAGACTGAGGTTTTAATTATAATTTTTTTTTGGTTGGAGTAGTATATTCGTAGTTTTATACTTTTGTTTTTGTTGGTTGCTCGGACATTATTTTTATGATTTCTTTTATGATTTTTTCATTCTGTTCGAAAGCAGTTGATATATGGTTCTTATAATATATTACTATGTATTTTTGTTACTATTGTTGGTTGCATTGTTGTAGTTGTTGTGGCTGATTTTTGGTTCTTTGCGTTCTATTATTTTTTGGATTATGGAATTTTTATATCCATTATTAGTGAGTAGTTTTTTAATTCTATCTAGTTCTGTTCTCCTGCTTCCTTTATCAGAAGAGTACGTATTGGCTCGGTTTACAAAGGGAGTTTGATAACAGAATTGAATTATCATAAAAACTAATAAGCTAGCATTTAGCTGTTTCTTTTGTAAATCACATATTTAAAATTAAAAAACTTTGGTGTTACTTTGGTGTGTACTGAGATTTTAAGTTCATTATGAGTATTTTGTATTAGTACGTCTAGGAATGGTAGTTTACTGTCAGTTGTTTCTACACTTGGTACAGACCAAAGATGAACTATTAATACTTTTAATAGCTTCATTAAAACATTTTAGTTTTTGAGGCCTAATTCATTTTGTACATTATAAATATAAAACACATATTTGATTTCAACACTTTCCAAGGTGCACTCACAATTCACAATTGATCCCTGACCAACTCCACACGGCACAATCCCTGATGTACCCTAGGAATGAAGGATCAGTTGGACAACTCTCTGACCAATCGACTCCTCAACCTATCGTTGATCAAAATTTGTTTTTTAATTTTAAATATGTGGTTTGAAAAGGAAACACCTAAATGCTAGCTTATTAGTTTTTACAATAATTCAATTCTGTTATCAACTTTTTTATGTGTAAAACGTTAGTCTGACATAAAAACTGACAAGAGAGATTGAATTAGTTAATTTAAGTAAACTTTTGAAAAAAATTTAAACTCGCAACCATTAAGCTGCTGTTTTGCATGAACCGTTTTAGAAAGATGCAACGAGGGAACAAAAAATGTTTCTACAAAAGACTGAGCAGACAGACGGATAGACAGACAACAGACCAATCTATCTTAACATGCATCTATCAAGATCGGTCACCTCCACTCTTAATGCCCATCAGATGATCGCTTTCAAATGCATGTACTTTCTTTAGTTTTCTACTTTAATTTTTTACAAAGAATTTTTAATTTTTTTGCCATTTTGTTTGTGTTTTTATTTTGTGTGTACGTACAATGTACATACAATACATTTAAAACTTATATATGTGCACGAGGTCTCTTTCATCATTCACACAATTATTTCAAATTTTTAATAAAATCAGGTTAAAACACTCACAGATGTAGTTTCAAGTGAAAAAATACTTACATACGAGTTAATATAATATTTTCAAACAAAAAATACTTCACATTACATAATAAAACTTAAAAATTCTTAATAATATATATTAGAAAGTAGACATGAATGACTGAGCAAAGGAAGAAAGGAGTTAAGAAAGAAAGAAGTGACTTAGTGTCTGCTAGATTATGCGTAGGATTGATGCCGCGATTTCATGTTGTGTATTGGTGAACTTTTTAAATATTCAAGCACTCTCTCAACTTCTCTCTTTCTCTCTATATATTTTTCTTTCTTTTTTTTCTTTATCTTTCTTCCTTTCCATTTTTTTTACTACTCAAATAATATTTTATTTTTTTATCTGATTTTTATTCAGTCATATGATTATGATGATGTTTGAAAACCGTGTTTGGTCATTGTTATAAGTTATTGATTGTAACTGAAGATCATAGCCAAAATCGTAATTTTTTTCATGTTTAATCAAGTATCAACTTTATCATCTTTTTGGTATCATCGTCATCACATTTTCGTGAAAATAAAGTAGCAACATCTTCAAAACTTTCATCCTCAAAGTCGTCATTACAGCACATCCCTACTTTTTTTATCATCATCACAAACATCATCATACTCATCATCAACAACGTCACCATTATCACCATCATCAACACCAGCAACGTCATCATCATCATCATCACCAACACCAACCCACTCCACACCCCTTCAAACTTTGATGCACATATGTATAAATAAAAAAAACACGGTTCCAAGGAGTCAGAGTTGATGCTGAGTAGTTGTAGCGTGAATAAAATGCATCGACAAATGTTGCCATCAAACAGCATAGTTGATGAGGAGGGCATAACGAAAGACATGCATCATGCACTCTATATCAGTCACTGCTCATCAGCATTTGTTCATCATGCACTGTTCATCATGCACAGTTCACCATGCACTGTTCACCATGCACTGTTCACCATGAATTGTTTGCCGAGCGCTGTTCCTCATTAGCTGTTTGCGTCAAGCGTTGTTCAATTTCAAATGTCAACTCGTCACAGTTTACTCCGCAGTTCTCATCAAAATTCATACAGTAATATATTTCATCCGTTGGATCTTTTGATAGTAGTATTAGTTAATGACAACTTTTAATCTTGAAGGTGATAATGACAAGAGAAAAAAATTAAACTTAATTCACATAAAACAATAAAAATTGAATTAATATACTTACAATAATTACAGAATGATAAGACCAGCCAACCAACAAATGAACAAACAAAACGAGAACAACAACTCGTCCTTAAAGAAATTCAAATGCACACGGCATACAACATTCATGATATTCAGCATGTTTCAATTGTAAGCAACACTGACGAAAAATTCTTTGAAATTTCTTTACATTTGTTTTTTTCTTTATGCTTTTGTTTTTCCACGTTATTTGTTAACGTATATTGTCGTGGCTTGTTATTGTTCCTGTCTTATCCGTTGTTGCTCAATGTTGGTGTGTTCTTTTTCTAAACACTAATCTTGTTTTTGTTATTGAGACCTTTTGAAGTTTATAACATGCTGGTAGGTGCAGTTGTTTAATTGCCTATGTTCAATAGTCATTATGTTCTTTTAACATTGAGATCGTTTTTACGACATTGCAGGCCAGCAAAGTACATTGTAGGAAATACATGTAGTCTAGGAAGGCATGGATGTCCTGCCCTAAAATACGATGTTAATAAGTAGTTGAAACCATACTAATTGCTGGTGCAAAATTTTAAAGTTGATACCATTTGAAATTTTTTAATTGCGGCCGTTGGGATATTGCTGATTCTCTGTTTATTGACATTGATAAAATAGAGGATGTTAGAGAGAGTCGGAGACGTGTTAACTTGTGGCTGCATGCAGAAAAAATGAGATGAGGAAACTGAAGATGAGGATGAAGATGATGGCGATGATAAAATTAATGATAGAAGAATGATGATAAAGATTTGGTCTTATCGACTGAATTCGTGGTCAAAGATTACCTAATTGTAATGGTTGTGTAAGTGTTACTTATTGTAAAGATCACATTGGTGATAGAAATGTTAACGTGTAACAACTTCTTATAATGTGCAAATCAAAGAAATAATATTTTGGAAAAAAAAATCAAAAAATTTTTCTCCGACAAAACTTTAACTCATAAAAATTTCTTTATCTAAGCACCCATTGAAAAAGTTTGATGTCATTTGCTCGGCTAAAGTATTTGAATTGAATATTTCATCCTTTCTTCAGTTGTTTGTTATAAATATTAAATGAACAAATTCAGAGACTACGCATTTTTTAAACTTATTAGAATAAAACAAAAATTTTGTAGCCGCCACAATGGACATCAACTTTAAGAAAAAGACTTGAAAACTCTTTCCAAAACAACAACGTTACTTATGCTATCTTCAAATTTAGTTAGTCAAATAAATATTTTAATAAATATTTCAAGACAATTGAAATAAAAATTATCATCAAGAGAAACAACAAGCAAGCTGTATTTGAATTATTAAGCTCTATCAAACAATCAAACATTAATAGCACGCACGTACAGACGTTGTCACACGAAACATGCTATCATACACATCATTCATGATACCACATTCAGTATACTCACAAAGAAGCTGGGTGTACTGCATAAAAGTACAAAACACAGTACACACATAACACTACGTGAAAGTACAATGTGAATGTAAATAATAATATACAGTACATACATGTACGTACAAAAAAAAAACAATACACACATAAAAGTACACAAGTGAAGGTAAATGAAAGATACATGTAAGAAAGTACAAATTCACAGTTCTCACATGAAAGTAGGCAGACGAAACAAAAAAGAAACTTAGAAGTATGTAGACGTAGCCATTGGACGCCAAGAAAAATCTGTTCGTGCATAAATGGCTTCAGGAGCAGTAGCAGAAGATACGTTGACAAAGCATTAGAAAGATAAATGTATAGAAATGTAAAACACACAAATGACACAATCATTAAAAATTCAAATATATGCAATCGCATCATGGCTAGGAAATGATGAGGATGATGGTGCTGATAAGCATAATGACGATGTTGACGATGATGACGATGATGATAATGACGATGATGAAATGGAGGTTATCTACGATGCTTGTCATTCATAAAATTTAAAATGAGTGGGCACAAAGAGAAATAAAATCAGTTTAACCTGCAGTTACAGTCAAAGTAAATAGCATATGACGACGATGTTGCCGAGTTGATTAAATTATTTTAGAATTGATCCAACAATTTAAATTGAAAAGCGATAAATGAAAATGTTTGAAGAAACTTAGGAAAAAAATTTCAAAAGTAATAATAATTATATATAAATTTGTAGTCCATTGATTTCGAGAAGTCTGACTCATGACAGACTATCAGATTCAATATTTCGATCGTGTGTCCGAGGATAAAAACGATATCTATCAGTGCGATGTGAACTAAATAGAAATGACACTGGGGAAATTTTATTGTCGTTAGCATTAGCGAAAACTGTACCCTTGAGTTTAGCAGACAATCTAATTTTTTTCAAAATTAAGGTAAACATTTTATCATGACGATTTGTGATTCTTTTCAGAGCCGCAACTGAACTAAAATTTGACAAAACATGCTTGTTTGCTGGAGTGCGTTACAAAGCGGACACAACACGTTAGAAGACTTACCCCTTATAGATAGGCAAGCATTTGTGAGAAGTTGTTGAATTAAAGCCTCGCTTAAAGTTTTGAATAAAACTTCTGAAAGGTTAGCAGTAAATTTGGGCCAAGGGGCAGCTTAGCCTGCGGGAATATGTTCTTCCACTGCTTTAATGATTCTCCCTGGAAAGGTAACCCCAGCAGATGATTTAAATCGGATTCCTGCTGGCGAGTTTTTAACTTTTGGAATGTTACATCTATTAAATGTTCAATGAGGAAGCACGTTGTCAATCTTAATTTAACTGTTGTAGGATTCACTCCATAAGTAGTTTTGACATCTCCGTTAATGCAAATTCTAAGATAATTGTGAAGTTTAATTCGAAGTGATTCGGCTAAATTTTTCAGTGATCTGATTTGCAGCCTCCTGATTCTGAAATAACGTAATAAGCACTCATAATGAGCTACAACTATTAACTATCTGCAGAAGTTGTTTTTATGTTGCTAATATATTTTATTTTAGAACAAACGGTAATTTACGGATTTGTTATTCGCAGTCAACAATCGAAGAATAAACCAACGTGTTTCAGTCGGGTATCATTCAAATTAGACTGTAAGTGCTTTGATAAATTCATCAAACTCTTTCGGGTTATGCGATTTTTCAAATTAAATGAAAGAACAAATGAATGAAAGAATGTATGAACGTATGAATGAATAAAAAATTAAATAAAATTGAATTGCTGGAGTTCGTATGAAGAGCAAATTACTTTGTATGTCTGTGTGTGAATTAATGTGTGTGTGTGTGTACGTGTACATGTGTTGGTTGTTTATGAGTGAATGGGAATGGTGTGTATGTATGCATATATGTAGGTGTATGTATGTATGTATGTTTGTATATATGTATGTCTGTATGTATGTATGTATGTATGCATGCATGCATGCATGTATGTATGTATGTATGAATGTATGTATGTATGTATGTATGTATGTATGTATGTATGTATGTATGTATGTATGTATGTATGTATGTATGTATGTATGTATGTATGTATGTATGTATGTATGTATGTATGTATGTATGTATGTATGTACGTATGTATGTATGGATGGATGGATGGATGGATGGATGGATGGATGGATTTGTGTATGACTGTTTAAATATGTCTGTGCGTGTGGGTTTTAGAGTTTGTGCGCGATTATGTGACCGGGTTGTTAACACGAGTTGTACTGTGGTATTTAAAAATTTTGTTTGGCGATTGAAGAGTGGATGAATAAGAGCTCAATTAGCGCCTCAATACATAGGAAATGAATTCCTACACTCCATGAATGAGCCAGCAGAATTAAATAAATTATTATTTATTTCAAACCAAAACAAATAAAATTCAGGAATTTGGAAAATGTTTATGAGTTTTGTGTTAGTATTTGACGATAAATATTTGTTTAATATTAAAAATATCAAACATTTATTAATATTGTTCTTTTTTCTCATATCTGTTATCACTGCTGGCCCGTGTCATCTTCATAAAAAGCATTCGTTACAGCATGCTGTTAAAGAATCTTGAATTAGTCTCAATTATAGAAACTTGTTAATTTATTTTATACTGCAAACTGCTCAAAATAATTAAATAAATTTATTTATTTAAAAATATTTATGACAAAAATTGAATATAATATTAAAATGAAACGAACTGGCTACATGAGATAATGTATAATTTGTATCATTCATTTGTGAATATTATAAGGTTTCAAACAAATTTGAAAGTGTTTATATTGTTATCCTTGTGTTCATTAACTTGAATGCCTTTCTTAAAAAAATACGGAAACAATTAAATCATCAATCAGCAAGCATGGTTTAAAAAAATGGGAATGGGGCTATTCTGTTGATGGTTTTAAAGAGTTGTTTTGCATTATTCCTGAACACATCGACACCATTTTTGTTATCATATCTCATCATTTTGTATTATCATTTCACATTATATAGTTTAGAACATGCTATAAATTTTTTCATCACTTCAAACTGAATACGTATTTTTAGGCTTGAGATTTATTGAAAGATTGAATTGTGGCACAACTAGTTATTTTATTCGTTTACGATATTATCTTTTAAGAAAGTTTAAAATTGTCGATAGATTCTTAATGATTTAATTTTTCATTTTTGTTTAAGAAATTATTATTCATAATCAAACTATTTTCAAACTTAAAGTGCTGTTTGATGATTTATAAATAGCATTTTGTGATTCCGATTGACATTTCTTCTCTTCAACTCTTAAAGCATTTAAAAGCGTTTAAAGCATCATTTGTTTCCAGAGGCATTTGGTTGTGATCTAGATGGCAACTCATCCTAAACGCCTCCAGAATTTCGAT